TCAAAGTGGACCGAGTGGATTGGTGATTGTTCTACTTTTCAATGTGAGTATATTCAAGCAAGCCTTTCTTGCTTGAATATATAGGGTGTAACATAAGTAAGTTGAAATATTCAAGTGACGTATTCCTGGGACATTACAATTTCAAGTATAAAAGTACAAACAAATTTGTGTTCGGAAATTCTTCGTTTCGAAGATACAGGGTGTTGACATTGAATTTTTTGGTTAGTTTTTTAAAAATGAGTGACCAAAAATGAGTTATTTGCACGAAATTTGGTACCTGGCGTTTTTCCGCGTATGAAATCATAATTCCGTATCAATTTTCATGTAACATCTAAAGGGAGCTGCGTACGCTGTCATTATTTATTTCGAATTGCCCTTTTTTGACAGTAAACATTTTGTACTTTTCATGAAAATGTCAATTCACACACCTTTTCCAATTTAAAAAGGTACTGAAATTGCGAAAAACTTATGAGAAAAACCAATAAAAAAAGTTCAACAATTTGTATCTCGAAAACGAATAATTTATCGATGAATATTTTATTGGGAAAAGCTGTTTATTTTGACGAGATCCACCACATACTTAGTTTTTGTGATGTTATCAGCAACTTCACTTAGCGCCCTAGGAGCTAAGAAATATGCATCGATATAGAAAATTGTAAATATCTCGAAAACGATCACCTCCAGCGTTGTTGATGAAGTTGTAGGGTTTTTTCTACAACTACTTAGTTTAGAAACGTTGCATTCCTTCATTGATTTTTATTTTGTATCATAAATTTTCATTACAAAATTTTTTTTTCATAACTCTTTTATCGCGCAGGCGTTCAAAATATCAGCTTGGGTTTTTATGTTACTTCTTTTATTTTTATTAAAACTTTTCATTTTCGTATTTTCATCATCGCATATCATTGAAGTGCTCTCTCCTCTCGAACCGAAGGTTTATTGCCAAAAAAACATATGGATATTTAGAACGACAGGCACCATTTGGGATGTTTCGAGTAGGTACTCATTGTTTACACTTTCATGGGTAAGAAAAGGTCCAAGTGGTTGATCCCTTTGGACTATATTTATGACTAGACCATTGTCAGTGAGAAAGTTACTTCGAACAATTTCTTAGCCGAGGCATTCATTCTGTTCTGAGATTTCAGCCAAGAACTAATCCGAATTCTGATTCTCCTCGCCAAGAGGTTACACTGTTATTTTCTGTTTGTTCATTTGTTGGTGTTATTAATAAATTTTATTATTTGTAAACGTTGTCCGTCTGATCAATAATTCACCTATCACCAGTCCCGACAAACTGTCCTCCAGCGTCCTCCAGGTGTAATATGAAGATTAATACAAAATTAATAATTTTCTACGTCAAAAAAAAACCGAGTATGACATTAAAACTGACAAAATTTTGGAACAGGATGCTTCAACTGAGCTGAAGCATCCCGTGTATAAAAACTCTAACAGAATATCAAAAAAATTCTGATGACTGTGTCAGACTGGTGTCTTGGTTGAAACTGCCCTGCACTAACGGGAAGCAACACACTGTAGATGACAGGTCAAGCATTCAATATCCTCTTTTTTTACGTGCCCTAAGAGCCCTACTTGTCCTAAAGTATATATTGGTCAAACGGGCAGAACATTTATGAATCGAATCCAGGAACATCATACGAGCTATATAAACAAGAAAACAAATTCAAATCATCTTCTAGAAGAAAATCATATATTCAACGAAGAGTTCAAAATTTTGCAGGTTTGAAACTGAATCATTTGGAATCAATGGAAATTATTAAACTTAAAAATTCAAACATTCTAATGAATGACCAACTAGATTTGAATAGATCATCATTATTGAACTGTTCTTAAATACCGAGAAAGAATTATTATTGATGTAGATTGAGCAGGTACCTTAGGTAAAGAAGATGATTTGAATATGTTGAATTTGTTTTCTTATTTACATAGCTCGTATGATGTTCCTGGATTCGATTCCTAAATGTTCTGCCAGTTTGACCAATATATACCTCAGGGCACGTTCCACACTTCAAATTATATATATCCAAATATATATAATTTGGATATTTTGTCTTCATTATTTTTAACTAACTTTCCCAACGTATTACTTGTTCTATATGCAATTTTAATATCTCGTAGTTGTCGTTTATGAAATTACTATGGATCTTTATCAAGTAACGGCCGAATCTATCAGAAGAAAAATGCTGTGAATAGTAAAGATCATGTGTGTAGTATGTATCTATGGAATATATTTTCTGATGTGTACCGATATCTGTTTTTTGACTCAAATTACATCGCCTAGCAAAAATATCACCTGGCAACACTAATCGTATTATTATCGCTCAACTTCGTGCATCACAAACGCAATATAAAAAATTGATAACAAAGCATTCATCCATCCTAATGTGGTACGAAGCTTGTTTGATAATATTTTAAATATTTGTTAATTCAGCAAAATTTATGAAAAAAACTCCCAACAATCCCATAATATATAAAGATTTATTGATGTTAGGTAACATACAGCTTGACATACCTACCTTTAGCGAATTGCTAGAGCCAACTTAGGATTTTTAGTTCGAGTCATAATGATAACTTCTTATATAATATTACTGTATCGATCTGATATATGATTTCTCATATATGAATGTCAGGTATAAAAAGTTGACGTTGAGATTATTCAAATCAGTTCTCTTTCATTTCTCTTTGAGTGATACATCCAACCAACAAAATGTTTGTGAAGGTAAATACTGTATTCTAATAATAGTAGATTTGATAGATGACGTATTGATATTTGTATCGCTATCATCTATTTCAAAAATTATATTGGTGGGTGATGAATATTTTCTTACGATTCTACCCATCCTTATTAATAAGTATCAGCTCATAATAGCATGATTTACAGATTAGTCGATGTTCCTCTCTCAATAGGTAATATCAATGAAGAACCTAATATCATCAAGCAAATTGCGGTTAACAATGGGTTTAAAGCAGAATAAATAAAGGAAATACTTGCCAAAAAAATCTACCCAAAAGCGATTTGAGACGTTTTTCCTATTGTTGAGGTAAATAAACAAAATTATAGAGCTTTAACGTATTTTGGACAAAGAACGAAAAAGTGGCTTCATTTTTGAGGAAACAAGATATTCAAATTGCATATAGAACAAGTAATACGTCGGAAAAGTTGGTTAAAAATAATAAAGACAAAGTATCCAAATTCGAGAAATCAGGGGTATATGAATTGAAGTGTGGAACGTGTCCTCTAAGGTATATATTGGCCAAACTGGCAGAACATCAAGGAATCGAATCCAGGAACATCATACGAGCTATGCAACGTAAGAATGAAGAACCTAATATCATCAAGCAAATTGCGGTTAACAATGGGTTTAAAGCAGAATAAATAAACGAAATACTTGCCAAAAAAATCTACCCAAAAGCGATTTGAGACGTTTTTCCTATTGTTGAGGTAAATAAACAAAATTATAGAGCTTTAACGTATTTTGGACAAAGAACGAAAAAGTGGCTTCATTTTTGAGGAAACAAGATATTCAAATTGCATATAGAACAAGTAATACGTCGGAAAAGTTGGTTAAAAATAATAAAGACAAAGTATCCAAATTCGAGAAATCAGGGGTATATGAATTGAAGTGTGGAACGTGTCCTCTAAGGTATATATTGGCCAAACTGGCAGAACATCAAGGAATCGAATCCAGGAACATCATACGAGCTATGCAACGTAAGAAAACAAATGCAACATATTCAAATCATCTTCTAGTTCAAAATTTTGCACATAGAAAATAGAGATTTGAAACTAAATCATTTGGAAGCAATGGAACTTAATAAACTTGAAAATTCAAACATTCTTCTGAAGGACAAACTGGATTTGAATAGATCACCATAATTGAACTTGTTTTCTGAAAAGCCAAGAAAGAATTATTATTGATGTCGAAGTGAGGTAATATGATTCAGGTGATCATAATTGAATAGATACCTTCGGTAGAGGTTTAGGTAATTTTTTGGAGGTAGTCTCAATTATGGTTACTTGTAGTATATAGATATTAGTGTAAGAAACAACTTGAAGTAGTCAAATCACTTGATAAAGTTACTGTGCTAGCGAAACATGTGATATATTTTTCAAATGAAGTTTATGGAGATCAAATCGTGAGGTGTAGTTTTTGAAATCAATTTGACAGATATATCTTCAAGAAAATGGCTTCTATCAATTGTCAAAGTTCGGAAGTTCCTGTTGGAAAAACATGAACATACGTTCACTCATTATGATCGATTCAGATGTTCAAAAAAGTACTTTGTAATGTCACCACTCGGTTTCGTGGTCTACTAATATCACGCTAGATACCGAATCTTATCCACAAGTCACACCCTTGTCTCGTCATTCCATCCAGATTCCATGACATCGGTCACGGAAGCACATCTTCACCGGCAGAAGGAGGTTGCATATCTTAATGAGCATCTAGAAGTGATTTCGAATTGAGGTGAAAGTACCCAGGTTCAATTCAATACCACAAAAACCCAGGCATCGGCGTTCTCCAAGAAAATGAATGTATCACAAGTGAGGGTTTGTAATTTAAACTTTTTGTGATTTGATGGGTGGGGCCTAGGGGGTTGCTGGGGGTGAGTTCTCTTTCATGTCACTTTAGTGACATGACCTAACTTCCCAGAAACGGTTTCGAAGATTTTTCGATATCAGCTTTCGTTCGTAAGATATAGCCCATTGTAAGTTTTAAAATGGACATACTGTATATAGTTTGTATAACAATATTCCACAAAAATATAAAGTTAGTAAAGTTTCCTTATTTTAGTGCTGTTACAAAAATATATCATACTTCTCAAAAATGTTCAGTATAAACATTCAACATGTTTTCTCTCCCTGTTTCCTCTCTCCATTCTTTTTTTCTCTTCTTTTTTTTTGTTTTTTTTTTCTAGTTTAGTTTTTTTCCAGGCTAGAACTAAGACTGATTTATTNATATATTTTTTCCTGATTTCAGACTCTGGTCATAGGCTTCTTCCTCACCTATACGTCAGCTATCCGAGTTCAAACATCTTACGCGGCTTTCAATAAAAACCATAATGCTCTTCAACATATTCATTCACAACACAATATAATTCAAACAAACGCTGCACACTATTCAGTTCCATCACACTTTCCTCACGTTCATGCTGCTCCCCAGCAATCTGCTCCGGTATTTTCATCTTCGCATGGAGCTCCTAGACCGTATCCTTCAATTTCTTCCAGTCACAGGGTCCAAGCTTCCCATGTTGCACCAGCTGTCTATACTGCACCAGTAGTCCATACTGCACAAACAGTGCTAGCTGCACCAGTCTTACAAGCCGTTCCAGATGTCCATTCTATGCCTGTTTTCCAAAATGTATTTACAAATCAATACGATGGGATTCAATCCAAGCAATATACTCCATCGATGGCTTCTCATGCAGCTCCTGTTTTGAAAAAGGCTCATCACGAAGAAGAATACGTGAGTTGATACAGTAACTTCATTGAATATACAGTTATTTTTTGGATATCTTACTGTCTGTGTTTAGATTAGAAAAGTCAAATTTAAAAGTTATCTGGCACATATGGATAGTTTACATTTCAAACTTTTCGAATTCAATTTTCTTGATAGAGAATACAGAACATTCAAAATGAAAATCTTATGTTGTTTGATACAGATTTCCAACATGCCCAGCATGCAACTCTAGAATTGAAGGAAGAGGCGGAAAATTATTTCAGCTGTTTACTCTTGAATTGTAAATTACGTAGAAAATCAATCTATTTGTGAACTTATGAGTTCCACGTCATATTTTCTATATTATCCTGAAAATTATTTCAATTTATTTGGTCAGTACGACTGTTGATGATTTTATAATAAGAATAAAACACAATTGAGGAAGCGATTAGTGATATATCACGTAATTCGCTTTTAGAAACAAAAACAGAAAATGTAGGTGAAAAAATTTCAAGATAAATGTGAATTTCAGTTCAGATAAGATGAAATATAGATATATCACTACTCCATTATTCTGATGACCCTGATAATGTATCATGTTATATTTTGTTATTTTCCAAGTTTCCACGAGTATATTACACAATCGAAGCCTAGGTCAATGTCATGTAGAAGAATTTTGAATTAATTAATGTTTTTTGAATACTCCTAATGTTTCGTTGTATGAATTTGACATTACAATTCATTTTATTCAGTTAGGACTGAATGTATTTGAAACTCTTGGATATATAGATGCATATCTATCAAACTATAAAAAACACATATCTCTTGTACGTGAAAAAACAAATATAAACTATCAAAATCGCTTGGAAAAAAACCTAAAATTATATTCATTGGTATGTGAGCTTGAAATGTTTCAGAAAGGAAAATATCAGAATTTATTTGGTCAAATTTGAGCTAGTTGTCATCTTCTTCTTGTTGAGCCCAGACAGATTTGCTTATGATGTTGGCCGAGGTGTGATTTTTTTCGAAGGAGTGTCTTTTATTCTAATTTCACTTCTGTCCCTCATGTCAATTGCTCGGTTACTTTTCTTGTGTGACTCGTTTATTAGGTGTAGAGTTACTTTCACAAATTCTGTTTCGCTGATATCTAGGGATTTCGAAGTTTCCCATTCCACTACCGTATAAATTGTATTGCCATCAAAACGTTTGATTTTTTTTATATAACTTGCTTCGTTACTAGTTTTTCTGGCGTCTACTCAAACTCTCTTACTATCTTAGTTCCTGCTCATTGTAGGTCTGTTTGATCTTTGGCTAATCCGATATTTGAACCTTTCATTTTGAAACAATTTTGTAGTATAATTTTTTTCGTTTGATATGATACAAGTTCAACCTTCAAAGGAGCCGTTATTGAAGTTACTAATAGATATAAATTATCCATATCTATGTCATTCACTTCTACGTTCAATGATCGATTGATTTCTTTATAGAAAAATGATGAATTTCTTTGACTGGGTACTTCGTCGAGACCCAATACTATTTTTTTTTGTTCCTTTTCCTTTCATTTATTTTTTTCTTCAGTTGTCGATTTCCAGCTTCTAATTTGGTTAATTCAGACTTCAGGTTTTCTACTTTCAGAGAAATGCATAATTATCCTCATTCATAATCAACTCTGATTCAATTTATCATTCAAGAAGTTATTGGTGTGAATTACATAATTGCATAAATAAAATGCATCATGCGACTATAATTATTCGAACAGTTCAGAAAATGGAATAGAAAACATAATTGTTCACATCCAACTTGACTCCTCTGTTGCCCCGTTGTTTTTCATTTATTTAGAATAGTTCGGACACTCCTTGTGATTTCAAGGATATTTATAGAAATCAAATTTACTGAGTCATCGTTCAGAGAAATCTTGTTTATCTACGGCATGTATAACTGAATAGTTTTGGAAAGATATTAGTGGTAGATAATTTTTTTCATCAAATCACAAAAACAATCAGTTTATGTTAGAGAACTACGTTAAGAGTATTCTTATCAAGTAACTCATATGAATTATTTTCAGTCACATCCAAAGTACCAATTTGCTTATGGCGTCGAAGACCACCACACTGGCAACATCCACTCCCATAACGAATCCAGAGATGGAGACTCCACGCAAGGAGAATACTCCCTTCATGAAGCTGACGGTACAATCAGAACCGTCAAATATACAGTAGAAAAACATGGCGGATTCAACGCAATTGTCGAAAGATCGGGACATCCACATCATCCACAAACGGTTGCACATCATTCTTATCAAGTTCCCCACCACCAATGATCAATTCACCAATGTTGGGTGCCTAGTCTGTTATATTTTGTTTATTGTTATTGTAAATAATAATTTTATATTTTAATTATTTAATTTGGTATTTATTCTTATCTATAACCTCAAATTCATCATACAATTTATTCAAATGACAGCAGCAAGACTATACATTGTTTTTCTCTGTCGAATTTTACATGAGTCAGAAGCATCTACTTTTGAGTTGTTTCAAAAGTTTGGTCAGGTTTTATAAGTCTATTCTTGAATGTAAATCTCAGTGAATTTAATTCAATTTGATTGAAATAAGCGCCATTTGAATCAGTGCACTTTTGCCAACGTAATAAAAGTCGATAAATTCTGTCAACATAAAAATTGGGTGCTCGAAGTTTGATGAAGTCAACGAAGGCCATTTTGCCTGATCTCGATTGGCGAAGGGTCTACCAGTAAAAAAGTTATCAAAGTGCTTGATTGTGCAAAGTAAAAATTACCACAAAAAATGACTTTCGTTGAATATTTATCATAATATTTTGTTGCAGATATGGGGTATCAAATCGACAGTTTAATTTTAATGATCTAATTTTCAAAAATAGACTCATTACGCTTTGGTAATTATTTGTTGCAGATATGGGGTATCAAATCGACAGTTCAATTTTAATGATCTAATTTTCAAAAATAGACTCATTACGCTTTGGTAATTGAGTTCTCATAAAACATCAATAATTACCTCCGGATAACTTTCTATCTCTGGAACAGATGAGGTACATGTTCGGCCTCATAATGATCTAATTTTCAAAAATAGACTCATTACGCTTTGGTAATTAAGTTCTCATAAAACATCAGTAATTACCTCCGGATAACTTTCTATCTCTGGAACAGATGAGGTACATGTTCGGCCTCATAAATGTGAAACGTGAGTTTAGTTGAAAGACATATATTTCATTCCAAAATTGTACTTGATGTGAGTCACCTCTTCGCACATCGTAAAGTAACTGAAAAGTACTTTGTTACTCTTTTTATCTCATTGTTCCGTCTCTGATACTGAATTAATTTGAAATCATTTTAAAATTTGGAAAGTGAATAACACAACGGTTCCTTCAGAGTGTCAATTAACAATTTTTCATTTTCATGAATCTGGAAACAAAGAAGGCATCCCGGAACTGTATAAAAATTGCGTTTGTGTTCTTTGCAGTAGTAAGAACCAACGAGAATCAAAATAGTGCATTTCAAATACATACAGTATGATACCTGTAGTTTGCAGCTTATATCATCGTTTACAGTGTGATATGCAGATATGTATAACAAACATATTTCTTTGATTGGAAGGTTCCCACATTTTTTTGTATCAAGATGGAGTAGTAGAAATCCAAAAAACTTTCTTTCCCATATATTCCATTTTCTGGCATTTTCATTTTGTTCATAACTTACTTTCTCTTTTGAAGTTTTGGCGAACGCGCAAGTTTCAATTCTTTGTATAAATTCCTTATTTTATTTCAGCAAATTCTTTCCGTTATATTCTTCAGCAACAAACCGAATAGTAACAAAAAACTAATCAATACAGTTCATTGTATGATTTTCACTATTGAAGGGTTTTACAAAAACCGCGACACGTGTTTCGCTATGCAACAGCTTCCTCAAGCATAAATTGAGAGTTACTTCTAAATTAAAACCATTTTATATTCTAACCTAGTACCTACTCGTCTACCTAAATAATCAATCTACCTGGAATAATCTACCAATGATGGCGAATTATTCAATTCAGTTTGATCTTTCATAAGAATTTCAAACCTTTCTTCTGGAAATGGTTGAACTCATGAATAGGTCTGAGTGGGTTTCTCATTATGAGACCTTTGCAGTGCAGAAAGTAAAAAGTTTCATTGAATTGGAAGTAATTCTGTGACAAACACACCGTAAAAAAAGTCTAATATTTCATTTTTCAATACCGGATTGATAGAGTTTTCGTCCAATAGATACTCCACAAAAACTCTCAACATATTATGAACGATCAAACTGAATTGAATAATTCGCAATTATTGAATCTGTTCATTTGCAGGTAAAAATAGTTAGGTATGAAAATAGTATATGAATTTGTTGACAAAGTAATAATAATGAATCATAATATGATATTATATACGGGGTGTTCCATTACAAAAATCAAAGAAGCCACTACTTTATAGTAGAAGCGACAACGCCGCTTCGTCTAAAATATTTTTGGCGTGTAGGTCATATTAACTTATGCATACTGTGGAATTTACAGGTTGATCCGTTGAATAGTTTGCCAGAAACAGCCAATTAAGCTCATCATGAAAAGCCCTGTATTTACAGGTGTACTTTCGAAAAAACTTATTGATATTGTTAATAAATTCATATCTGACCTTTTCAGGTAGATTCATTATTTAGGTAGAGGAGTAGGTACTAGATTAGAGTTTAAAATGGTTGTAATTTAGAAGTAACTCTTAGTTTATGCTTGAGAAAGCTATTGTATAGCGAAACACGTGTCGCGGTTTTTGTAAAACCCTTTTATAGTGAAAATCATTCAATAAACTGTACTGATAAGTTTTTTAAAATGAATTTTCATCAAGTATCGGCCAGTTCTATTCAAAAACTGAATATTGTCAAACTCCAGACATGAAAGAACAAATTATGTCGACCTTATTCTACCACACACTACAGACAACAATAAGAAATCGACTCAACAATATACTTTCTCTGTTTGGTTTTAGTTAAAATAAATTTGACAAGGTTGCTTACTGAATATGATTTATCATGAAAGCAATATTCAGATATCTGAATCATGTCGTTGAGCAATAATAGTATTGTATCTACTTACAAAATCGACCTTGCCGTTCTAATTATAGCCATGAAAAACTCCCTCACAATTCCGGAGGTAATTATTGTTGTTTTATCATAACTGAATTAACAATTGGTAATGAGTTCATTTGTGAAAATAAGATCATTGAAATTAAACTGTCGATTCAATACCTCATATCTGCAACATAATTTTTTAATATCGATAGATAGCTTAGTGGCTTGTTCTGAAAAGTCGTCATGAACGACCTGAAAAAATATCCTCAGTCTAATATGAAATTCAACTATACACGAGAGGAAGTTTAACTATTCCTCATATACTTTTTCTGAAAAAATATAAACTGAAATATCAATAAGAGTATATTCATAATAGATCTTGTACTCATAAAATGATAAAAGAATCATATGAAACTTGTACTTTCTAGAATTGTTTGTGAGGAGTTAGAATTGATATTAGTAAAAATGCCTTCGAATGCACCTGGAAGTGTGCCTAATATAAGAATAAGACATGAATGACACCCGATTATACCAATGCTGAAAAAATATCCGTAAATCGATAGCCACCATATATTAGATCTTGTCAAATCATTATTTTAATGATTTTTCACAAAATTTTGATTGGGATTCTAGAGCGGTCACTATATTAGTTTGAACACGCAGCACATTTTTTTTTCAATTTTTTGTTTCATAAAAACGTGGCTATGCAGATTATCTAGGAGAAATTATAGCAGAAAAAATTTGTTTGAAATATGTTTTTTCATCAATACAAATTTGTGGGAGCTGAGAATTGACGAGATCTTTTTTTTCAACGTGTGATTGCTAATACGCGTCAGACAATCCGCTGCTAAAATTCCAAAATCATACAATTGGACTCAAAAAAAGCATCACACAGCGATTTATTGCTAGTCACGCATACAAATCGATTACAGCTTGTCAAATGTAGGAAGAGCTTTCTAAATTATTTCATGATCTCGCCCAGTAGACATGCGTTTGTTAAAAGAGGGCGAGTGTGGCAAAGAGAGGGAGAGAGAGAGAGAGAATTATCAAGTCTCTCCCAGATTTGACACGCTGTACTTAATAATACATAGATTTCAGTAGGTTAGGTTAGGTAAGGTTAGGACGAAAGTGGGTGGGTCTATTCGACTTTCCACCGCAACCCACAAGGGTTTATTGTGGTTCACAGCTATTCACACTCGAACAAATAAACCCAGCTCCTTAACGTGGCTAGAAATCCAGACAAGAGTCAATTTGTTGAGTCTTTCTATTGAGGAGAGCCTTTTTTGGCAACTTACTACCAAATTAGTCGTTGTTCCGTCTAAATTGGATGAAGGATTCCGAAATACTCAATTTCTTTACAAACCGAAACAATTATTAGGATTGACTAGTCTATTGGAATTGCCGATCAGCAAAACTGTGTTTTTTCATCTGTTCCCCTAGCCGGACTGAGTGCAGTAGCTTTGTAATAAGAAAATAGTAGTTTATATAAAAATATTCAGAACAACTTATCCGTAAAAGGATAAAGAACATTGGATATCTCAATTGGGATTAAATCTGCTCAATATATATGCTTAACCTCGTAGGGTAACTTTTCATCCTCCGCGAACATACATATTTCTTCTTTCAATAGTAATCTTGAATTGGTCTATGCTGTAATCAAAAGTAATGAAATCTTCACATTTGGGGTATATTGACGTTACACACATACATGAGAGAATAGAAGGAATGTTCACAAAGAAATGTAATATATAAATGATTACTGGTACATACGAAAAGAAATTGTTGGGACGGCGAACTGGTTTGGACACTGAAATTATTAATCATAATAAACATTCCAAACTAGATTTTTTACATAATTCGTCAGATACAGTTATGTCACCTAAAGAGACGCAAATAAGTAGGTATAATTCTTAGAAAATTTTTGATCTCAATAATTACATAATGATATTCCTCCATTTAAGAATTTATTTTTGTAGAGCAGTGCCAACCGATATAATATTCTCAGGACACTATAAAAGGTGGTTGGTAATAAGTTTTCAATCAGTCTAATTTTAGAAGTGATCATTGATCAATTATTTCCGACAAAAACATATTATTCACAATGCTTCACAAAGTAAGTACTTTCATTTCATTACGATGCACGTTTGTCAAAGCTATTTCTTACTTAAATATACAAATTGAGTAACAAGGTTTTTGAATAAACTAAAAGGGTGAGGTCTTAATCTCTGGCGTGAACATGTTGTGCACTAAGAAGTTTTAGGGGTGCAGATGAAAGTTTTTGTTGAAAAATAACAAGCAAAATATGAATGAAATTGAAGATTACAATGAAAATTGGGAAATAATGGTTTCGAATTTCTACTTCTCCATGTATACAAAAAAAAAATGAAATCTCCCAAATAAAGGAAGGAAACAATTGATTAATGATGATAATGATAATAAAGTTTGTTTTATTCATAATATACAATTTCAAGTAACATATTACTAATACATTACTGGGAAAAAAATGAACGAAGCACCACGGAAGAAACATCAAAAGAGTTTTTTGTGTGTAGTATAGTCAACCTATTGAAAATGGAATTGAATATAAAAAATTAGTTCGAATTGAAACAAACTTTTCACATGGATGTGAACATCATGCAAAAAAGTGACTTTCAGACACAAATTGGAAATAAAAAGCTCTTTCGAAACAACTACTTTCATATAAACATCGAATTATATGGATATTGAATTATACAAAGAACAGTTTTGTTTACTTGAATTGATGTATATAAGGTTCATTCGAACATCATTTGAGTTTTGTGAATTATTCACTAATTATTTCGTTGTTTCCGCTTTCTTCGATAACAGTTATTGAAGTTATACAATTAACATTATATCCAGGTTTATGTATTTGATTCATTGTAGGTTGTTATAATAACATTAGTAGCAACAGCTGTTATCGCTGCTGAAAATACTTATCAGGCCGCTACTTCATTCGTATCCTTCAATGATAACCACAACAGTATTCAGCATGTTCAATCTGACCCAGTCTTTGCGAAGAGTGCTCCTGTACATTATTTGGCTCCAACTCACTCTGTCTCTCCATATTCTGCACCTTCGAAAGCTTATGCTCCACCATCATATGCTGCAGCCACTCATTCATCACGTGTGAATGATGAACCTCAAGTTTCATCACAGTATTATTCCTCTCCCACTGTACACCACTCTGAACCCAGGACACATGTAGCTCATTCAGCTCCCATTGCTGCTCAAGAACATGAAAGACATGAGGAAGAATACGTGAGTACGAAATAATGAACTAATTATTTGTTTTTCTTCTGGTAAAATCTATATTTGGGATAGAATAGTTATTAAGAGTTCAAATGAAAGATGGCTTCTATAATTTTTATTATTGAAGAAGCATTTTTGTTCAAAGACGCCATATTGATAAGGATATCCTTAAGGAAAACTAATATATGAATGATATGATGATGAATTTGGGATTTTGCTTTTCAGGCTCCAGCAAAATACGACTTCGCTTACGGAGTAGAGGACCACCACACTGGAGACATCCACTCACACAAAGAATCCAGGGATGGTGACATCACTCACGGAGAGTACTCTCTTCATGAAGCTGACGGTACCATCAGGACTGTCAAGTATACAGTTGAAAAACACAGTGGATTCAATGCTGTTGTTGAAAGATCTGGCCACTCCAAAGAACAAGTTTCGAATGATATTCCGCAGTACAATCATCACTTATAATTTTGGTTTTTATGAATTCCTGATTGTTACCCATTTCTCACATATTATTCATGTTATTGTTATCAAATATATTTTTCCAATAAGTTCTTGATTTGTTTCAGTAATTGTTATCTTAAAGTTGCCGGTTCACCATTGGGCACTTGAGGTACACTCAAATAATTCTTGATTGCGTGATTATGGAATGGCAAGTCATGAAGGAAAATACTAATTCATAAATTGATGAGAAATCAAATTCACGTCAAAATGAAAATATATCGTAAGTGCTGTACATTTCGCTCTGCAGTTACTATATAGGTTGGTAGATCTTTCATTGGATGAATAGTTTTATCTGATCTAACACTATGGAACATACCTATATCAAATCAACATACCCTTCCATCAATTTTTTCCTGAAATGGATGTCGAAGTAAAATAATAAAATTATTCCTGCATATGCTGTTGGCGATACAACTGCCGCAATAGACTTTCAATTATTGGAACACACTTGCAGACCGGTTTCGGGCTGTTTGGCCACTCGTCAGTGCAAAGTAGTGTCTATCGTCAACATGAAGTCGATGATTTCCGATAATTGAAAATCGATTCCTTTCAGAATATCATTCCTCGATCAACGCTGAAGCGGACAACAAACAACAGGTTCGTCATCGCCCCATCTGCCTGTGAACGAGGTAACCAACCGCATATCCGAAATTTGCCCAATTCCTCGTGTAAGGAAAGAAAACTCTCCATATATAGTCAGTGGGTATACTTGAAGACTGACTGTAAATCAAATCATCTAATAGAACAAAAACAACTGTCGTTGAAAGTGACCTGAACGAATTGTCTTGTAGATGATTTGATTTACAGCCACCCACTGACTATATGTGAAAAGTTTTCTTTCCTCTCATTCTCAATTATTGGAAGTCATCGACTTTATGTTAATGATAGACACTACAATGCACTGACGAGAGGCCAAACAGTTCGAAACCGGTCTGCAAGTGTGTTGCAATAATGAAAAATATATTGCGGCAGTTGCATTGCCAACAGCATATGCAGGAATAACTTCAACGAAGAATCCTGCACTAACACCTGTCGAATATAATTCAATGTCCATCGTGGTATTAGCCAGGAGAGTACTTGTTTTCCGATAGATGTCAGTCCATCATTCTATACAGTATAGGAGTTGAGACTGACCTGAACGAATTATTCCTTCAGATGATTTGAAGTAATGAAGTAGTTATATTGAAAAATGGCAGATTACCGCAGTTGAGCTAAATAAAAAACGAATGGGAAAGACAGTCAACAAAAACTTCGAATAATACGATTGAATGCTCTTAGATCAACAATGAAAACGATTTTTTTTCAAAATCTGGGATTCTGAAAGGGAAATGAAAATGAAGAACCATGTTCGAAAAAGTCGTGTGGAATTGAAAAAACCTTTTATTAGGTCATTTATCCAGTAAAGCTATTTTTTAACTCGCCTGGCATTCATTTAATTTTTATATATTGGCATTATTGGTCAGATACACATGAGTCGAGAGTGTTTGTTTCATTAAAATCGTACAGATGGATCATCATTCTTAAAATTTACTGAATAAAATAGCACATTCGGAAACACCAGAAGATATATAGAGTATAACAAAAGTTATAGTATAATAACAGTAGTTAACAAGTCAATAATGCGGTCTCACCTCATAACTTCCATTGTATTTGTATGCACTACGCCACGATAATCGAAGAAAACAGTGAGCCAAACCTTGACATTTGATAGAACTTCGCGTGCTTTTTTCGGTCTAGGCTCTCCTGTGCTGTTTTATCGGCACGGTTGGTAGGACTTTCAGTGCCCGGTTTGTTATTTGGTCAGGGCCTCGGGCTTTCTGAGTAGCTAGATGTCTTACGATATCTTTCACTTCCTCAGGAGATGTTGGGGCTAGGAGTTGCGCATTGTCCCTTCTTTGTCTTCTCAGTCTTCGTACCGTTGCTTCCACCTATGTCTCTATTTCTTCTACCTCATCCGTGAGCGGGATGTCGATCTCTCTGCGCTGTCTTTTGAAGTTGTTGGCGATTCCTTCCGCTCTTTCTAGATCAGTGTAGACGATTCCTTGCTCACCGTGTATGGGTGACCATGGTTTTCGGAGTCACTTTCTAAAAGCTTGCTGCATTCTCCATGCAGAATGGTCCTCTGTGTTTAGTTCTTCCAAACGGGTTGTCCATAATCTTTCACGTATTGCTCGCAGTTCTAGTAGGATTCTGCTGGTCCTTTTGTCCATTGGTGCGCGTGTCCTTTGATACCGTCTCTTCAGGCGTCTTCTGATTCTTATGAGCTCCATTGTTTCCGGTGCGAGGTGCACCTGTACTGGGATACATTTATGTATTTTGGGGAGAAATCGTTTTTGCTGTTCACCTCTCCATTGAGTAACTACGGAGAATACTTCTCAAAAAGATGTGTGGATCATGCACAGAAGTTTTTATCAGATACAAACAGAAACACGTTTCTCCAAATGAATATTGAATTACACGGAGTCACTTTTTTTCATTCAGTTTGTACTCCGAACATCTACAGAGGAAGTGAACGTTGAATAAACGACCGCAAATGTCTTCCTTGTAACGTCGAATCAACAACAAACTATTCTCTGTCCTTCACTCTCCACTCTCGATCCAATTGAATAGTATAGGTAATGCATCCAGTGAGCGACATCATCTCCTAAGTAGCAAGGTATCCTCAGGATCTGCCTTGAATCAAATTCTTGAGCAGCAGAAGAAAAATTTTCCCCCAAGCAAGTCACCAAATGCTCATACTCAAACTATGGATCATCCAAACCAAAAGTGGAAAGACCTTGTATGGCTGACTCTGATGTATTGTCAGATATAGCCGAATCAGAGATCTGTATCTGTAGAGTAGGGAGGGTGAGTGTAGGCTCACAACACTTAGGCCACATGTGACCCATTGTACATCCTCTCAAATAGTTTTCCTCCTAGATATTCGTCCATCCTGCCTTTTCCAGGAAGGTAGACAGGTCACTGGGATACATCTCCTTTATATCGGCAGGTGTAGGTCAAGACTTGCCAAACACACATGATAACTCCAGACACCCGCATAAGACATGCCCGATAGTTTTATCTACCTGTTCACACATCCTGCGTAGAGGTGTGTCCACTAGCCCAATAATATGGAGGTGCTTCCTACATTTCCATAACGTAGGTTTTTCCTAGTCATCGCCAGATATTTCTTCAGTGTAAGTTTCCCAGGATCGCCCAGGGTGACTCTGGCAAGACTGCATCTTTTCATTCTATTCCATCTCTTTAGGAATTGAGCATGGGTGTGACGTTTGGCTGGTTCCGCAATTGTCGAAGTCATTAGGCCGTTGGTGTTACTGGGTCCTAAAATTCTTAGTACAGCCGCTTCCTTGGCTAAAGAGTCGACAATGCGATTATCTCAACTCCTGTCGTGCCCTTCAACCACCTCAGGATAATGATATTATCTACCGAGGCTTTGGCTGAATCTTGGTGGCACTCTAGTATTAGCCCTGGGGTAACACTTTTTCTGTTCAAAACTAATAGGGCTTGTCTATTATCAGTGCAAATTGTTTTGTTTCTGCCAATATAATTCCCTTCCTTGTTATTTCTTTTGTGGCAATTGAGATACCAGCCACTTTTGTTTGAACCACGCTGGTATCTTTTCCCATTCCCCACTTGATCCTTAAGCTTAGTGATCTGGAGTGAACTCCACAACCTGAGCCTTCTTTGGTTTCTGAGCCGTCTGTATATATGAGTATTGCATTTGTAGCATCTGACTCTGTGTTCTGTTCTATTTGTATTTTGTAGAGTTTATTAAACACAAACCTGGGTTCAATTGTGTCACTGGCTACCTGCAGCAGACAGTAATGCAATTGAGCAGTAAGCATTTCTCACCATAGGCTCAGCCACAATTGACCCATTCCTACTTCGAGGTTTACACCAGCCATGCGCAATCGTAACATAGCCATTAATACAACCTCCTTGACGTACAGGTCCAGAGAGGTGTTATTCTCATGGCTCTTGTGATTTGTATAATTTTTGTATTTGATATAATTTTTGATAGAATATTTTGATATAATTTTTGAATGGTCGTTGCTTGTACACCTTTCGGCCCCATGCAATGGCTCCATACGTGAAAATAGGTCTTATTATTGCAATGTAGATCCAGTTGAACACACGGGGTGAAAGACCCTACGCATCCCACTGTTCTCCGACATTGCTCATAAGCCACATATGCTCTTTTTGCTCTACTCTTTAGGTGAGAGTTCGATGTTAGCTTCCTGTCGAGGATAGTACCGAAGTTTTTCACCTCTTCAGAGAAATTTAGTTTGCTTTTGAATATTTCGGGAGGTTTTAAGCCTGATAAACTTCTTTTCCTGGTGAAAATCGACCATTCAACTAAAATTTTTCCAGTATACTATTTGCTGCTCGATCGGTATTACAGGGACTATAAAATGCAGATGAGGATTGACTTTTCTCCGCTAAAATTTCAGCGTCGATGTGAATTTGCTAAATATATATGCTTAACCTTATAAAGTAAATTTCTATCCTCTGCATCGCTCTGCATACACAAATATTTCTTCGGTGGTTGGAAATTTCAAATGAATGTTGTGATTAGGAGTAAGAAAATCTTCATTTTTGAGGTAAACTGAAAGAGTTATCAGCGTTTTTTTTATTGAAGAAAATTGAAGAAACTTTCATAAAAAAATCTTGTATGCATAAACATAATGAACATTCCAAACTAAATTTTTTACATAATTCGTCAGATACAGTTATGTCACCTAAAGAGACGCAAATGATTAGGTATGATGGATTGACAATTTTAAATCTCAATAATTACATAATGATATTTTTGTAGAGCAATGCCAGTTGATAAAATATTCACAGGACACTATAAAAGGTGGTTGGTGATAAGTTTTTAATCAGTCTAATTTTAGCATTGATCACTGATCAATTACTTCCGACCAAAAATATATTATTCACGATGCTGTACAAAGTAAGTACTTTCATTTAATTACGATGCATGTTTGTCGAAGCTATATATGTTCACTTAAATGTATGAATTGGGTAACAATTTTTTTA